TCATCACATGACCAAAGCTGGAGCCAGGACTCCTCTCCAGCAAAGGATTGATTGTTGGACTCAAAAATGGAACAAGTACTTGTTACAACACCTCCCCATATTATGTTAGAAGATGATTTATAAAAGGGACATTTGCTCAAAGATCTGAGCTTTTTTCTGTCCCTTTTACTTGTAATCACATATATACAAATAGCCACAAATGTGGCGGTAAATCAGCTCCTTCTTCATGTATTCGTTTTTCTAATCCATTCTGTACCATTTTCTCAATGTGATGTGGAGAGAACCATGAACCCCTGCAAGTGCCACTCCACCATACGGTGCACAGGAGTCGATATAAATGGTAAAACGACATTCAAAATTCCTACTAGTGACTATAGGCTGTACTCTGCGTTACTTTGAGCTAAATGCTAACAAACTCTCAGTGACGATGATAAAATCTGCTTTATTTTAGCAGTGTTCAGTTTGTTAGCGTGCAAACGTGCTCGTATCAAAATAATGTGGACTGATGGCTTTAGTTTTTGCCCTTTTGCTTTGGCAGCTTTGTTAGATTTTGGCCCAGTGGTTCTGGTTCAAAAACAAAACAGGGTGGCACTAAAGGTAATGTCAAAGGTCATCAGGATTTAACCTCTGGAAACCATCCATATTTGTACAACGACAAATTCAGGCCAATCTTTTCAACCGATGACATCGAATACTTTGGACCAACAGACTGACTACGGGTGATTTGCAAAAAAACAAAAGACTTGAGAGCCCGAAGCACGGATGAGTGTCTCAGTGGGTAATAGGATGTGTGCGCAGGAAGTTACTGCTTGACCTCAAGGTGTGACGGCAAGTGAGTGGAGCCAAAGGACGGAGCGGCTGATACCTCCATTACTCTTTACTCTTGAGGGTCCAGTAAAATAATCTGACACACGCACACAAATAACTTGTGTAGTGTTGACAGGACTTGGTCAGTGTGCACTTTATCACGGCTAGGAGCTCTGTTGACGAAGACCACAAAGAAAGTGGATGGATGTACAGCATGGTGATAAAAGAACAATCTTGTGTGTATGTGTATTGTATCAGGACAAACCATGTTAGCTAGTAGCAATGCAGAACAGAAATAGATACTTAGTTGTGCTGTGTGGTTTTGTTTGTGTGTTGAGTAGGTGTGAGGATAAAAATATGGGAGTTACTTACAGGAAGTAGATACGATGATGTGTGTGTGTCTGTGTGTTTATTTCCTAAACTCATACAGCCTCTTTTAATATTATTGATATTACCTTTTTAATGGAGCAGTTTTTGTTCATGTTTTTTAGAGATACTAACCTTCTGTACGGCTGCGTTTTTTATTTCCCTTGTCATGTGTACAGAATGAACAATGTAAAAGATGTACAATACGTTGTAAAAAACACAAAAGCCTTACATTAAATTGTAACATTACTTACACATTTGCCATAACAAAGGCCACGCCGCAAATAGATTGTTTCACATGGTCTCAAACAAAAGATGACTTGTAACAATTCTGTGGTTATTGGTTAATTGTCATTGCAAAACCTGCTTTTGTGCCCCCCCCACATCATGGAATGACATTGTGGTTAAATAGCCAGTATGTCTGTCCTACTGTCCGTCTGTCTGTCTCTGTGTTTCAGGTCAATGTGCAGATTGTGCCAAATCTACGGGACATTACACACACACACACAGCGACACACGCAGTGCTCTCCCTGCTGACAGAAGGGCTTGGAGAGTGTGTAATGAGAAAAGGTCCTCATGCATGAAAGCTCACGTCAGCAGGCCAGCCAATCCAACACACACACACACACACACACACACACACACACAGTCCTTGAACTGTATCTTACAACACTTCGTTTTTCACTTAAGTGAAGACTGACTTAAGGAAGACGACTCCGCAGTGTTTCTCAAACGTTGACCACACTGTCTTCCTTTTGAACCGCTTAAATACGGTCCTTACAATATGTCCTCCTAATATATTACCCTCCCATGAGACTTCATTTAATTCCACCTTTGGAAAAACACCTGAAGTGCTGCCCCTTTGTTCTAAACTGACACTAGTGGGAATGTTGATGCGTCATATGTCTCATGTTCAAAAGATAGAGACACAGATACAACAGATGGCAGTTTTGAAGAGTCTAATTTATATTATTTATTTGTTTTCTTATTGATCGGGGTTTCGTGTAACTGTGTAGATCCACATCACCTTCCTGCAGCTCAGCACAGTTTCTGCAATCATCCAATTAGGAATTTTCTTTTTTCTTGTTTCACCTCCGATTCAATGAAAGCCAGGCTACAGAAGGACGAAAAGGTTTATCGAGCGATGCAGCGTGTATTCATCCACATCCTTAGACATCACCTGATGTGCACGTCATACAGATATGAATTAGTGTTCATCGGATGCTACTCACTTTGTAGACTGGCATCTGCATATCAGAATATGAAATGACATTGGCCAATGGCAGCGGCCCTTTTCTTGTCCATCTGTTTTGTCACATCAATTATGCACCTGTATATTGGCTGGCTATTTGTGGTAGGAATCTGACAACAGTCATCAGGTGCCGATTTGGATAAGATGCCACTGACATAACGACATGCGCCGTGCACATGTGTGGTTTGTGCCAAAATAAATGTGCAAGAAATAATTTTACGATTGAAAAATGAATATGTTTTGTTGTGTATGTGAGGAGCATCCTAAGCATTCTCCTCATTAACTATGTACGGAGTCGAAATGGGAAACATAGGAAAAGAAAAACGTTTTCCTTTTTATAGTCATAATTTTCAGCTCAACCAAAGACAATCAAATGCAACGCTGAGTGACGGGAGACTTATTTACATGTGTACAAATTTAAAACACGAGATTGGTGTGCAAATTCACTGATTTATGTACATATTTACAAAAGAGGGGGCAGGTGATCACAAGTAGTTTACGACTGTTTTAATTCATGGATCAGCAGTAAACAAGTTAGCAAATACAACTTTCAGAGATGCCCTGATTACATTTTGATTTTAGTTTTGTACACGTTCTTCAAACTAGTGCTTGTGTGTGTTTCAGCTCTTGTTAAATTTCTTTTTGAAGGACTTTTAGTTGCAGCACTTGGAGTGAAGACCTGTGTGATTAAAAGGGCCGTGTGTACAGACTGAGTGTCCTTGTTCCAAGATGCTGCATGCACACCGGTAACCCCCTCACCCCCCCTGCTCATAGAGATTAGCGGCGGGTGTTCCCATCGGCTGGGCTTTGCGGTGTGTCAGGAGTAGGGTGACAAAGGGGCGGAAATTTCCCTAAACTTTCCATGGGAATTTAAGCTCAGGAATTTGGGAAAGTTTGACCTTTTTATTTTGTGCAAAAACCTATAACTGTAAACCGAGTGTAGTTGGAGGCGAGGCCAGCTCAGCTGGACACAGCTACTTGGGAACATCCTCTGCCAGTAACGTAAACATAACACGTTCTGTTATTTCTGTCTTTATCAGTAGTTAACATATTGATTACTTGGTAAACTCAAGTCATGTTCATTTTAATACCACGTTTATTTGTAAATAGTAGGCTAACTTTTTACAGCAGTGAGCGTAGGATGTATGTATGTCCTCAGAAAAATATACCATCACCTTGATTATTCACGGCTTTTGGGGTCAATCAAAAAGCACGAGTTGGGCGACCTCTCATAAATAAAAGTAATTACTGCAAATGAATTGCTGAGCGTTTTTCAAAACCTTCTCTTAAAGATATATGTAATGCAGCACAGGCTGTGTTTCTTTGCATAGGATGTTGGTAGCTATTGAAAACCACATCCGACATGGATGTAGACCTGAAAGGATTCAGGGACTAAAACTAAATCCATGCTTGAGAAGCCTAATTCATTTTACATTCAGAATTGGATGTTTTTGTTGTTAAAGGAAAGAATTCAGTTCTACAGTTTAGTTCTACAAATGGATTTAAGTTCAAATTTGTATTATAAATGTTTGTATGCCTGCAGACGACAAACAAAATGTTGTTTTGTCATATATGACAAGGTAAATACAGTTAAAATACACAAATTTCTAGTTTATTCCCGTATTTTCCCGTTAATTCCCATGGAAAGTTTCCAACTTTGAAGATTGCCGGAATTGTAACCCGGGTCAGAATGCCAGATCCTCAACAGGATGAGATAAATGCACTGAGTTCATTGAGATGTCCTTTCTGAGCAGAGGTCTTGTTGACCCGTGTTTGTTTTCCTGTGGAGATGTTGTCAGTCTGTATTCCCTCAAAAATTTTGCCCCGACCTGGATCAGTCCGTCCGGATCAGTCAACAGGTTTCTCGTGCCCGGTCTGCTGTTCTTACTGCCATCGCTCTGCCAACTCTCATGTTTGACATTCGTCCGTCTGTAGGTTTCTGCGGCCAGTTTGTCTGCCAGGGCAACTGTCTAACCGCCTTTGAGTCTGTCTATCAGTGTGTCCTTGTGTGCATGACATTTAAAACAGCAGGACGGGCTTCTGCTTGCACTGTGAGCCTAAATGTCAGCTTTGCCTACTGGTGATGGACCATCCCCCCCCACACCCCCTTCTTCCTGATCCGCTCCCTCTGTCTTTTGTGTTTTTGTTGTATCCCCCCCATCACCCCGTTTCTCTCTAACCACTTGCCCCCTTCAGAACCTTCTCTCCTTTTATTTACAGTATCATCCCAAGAACGCCTCCAATTTACAAGTGATCTTACATGAATAGCGCTTTAACTTTATATCTGTATCTATAATAGAGCTGCTTCTTGTATTTGTGCCAAACCGTCACTTCTGCGTGGTGCTGCTTCCTTATTTACGAATCTGTTGGTGTGTCGAACCGTCACTTACAGGAAGGAACAAAATGATCAGCACACGATGTCCTGCTAGCTATACATGCGCACATATGTTTTCTGAATCCATGCATTTTGTATCCTTGTTAACTGTCTGTCAAGAAGTCTGAAGGGGACTGTTGTTCTTACCAAACCAGACTGACTCATTGATTGATTAACGCGTGTGTATTTGTGTGTGTTTAGGATCATCCATGAGGACGGTTTCTCTGGCGATGACGTAAAGCAGTACAAGCCTGTCGTTTACAGCAACACCATCCAATCTCTGGCTGCCATCGTCCGTGCCATGGATACACTAGGCCTGGAATATGGAGACAAAGAACGGAAGGTCAGCACTCGTCCCCCCTCAGTCTCTCACACACACTTTCTTCAAACACCGGACACATATAACGCAACAACGCTTTAACTTAATTTTTCTCATACTATCACCAAATCTGTGTATCATGGCGTACAGCCAGTGATATGCAGCGCAAAAGCCAGACCCTCACTGATACAAAATGTTCCAAGATTGTTTATATTCTCAAGTCAAAAGCTGTGAATTCCACTAAATGACGATATCAACCAACATGAACCATTAAGCTAATTCTCTATATGCTGAGCTTCCTGTCCTGAATGCTGCAAGTAGCCACTGGAATAATCCCATGAGAACTGATGTAGTTCATGGAGAGGGCACAGTGTGCCTTACATAGAGCTACTGTCTTTCAACCAAAGTACCAGGAGTCCAGCTCTTGTGTCAGAGCCGATCCAGTGCCACTCAGCAGCACACCGCTCTCTGCCAGCTTCTGGTCCTTACTCCGACCTTCTCTGTTAGGGATGGGCACATATCGCCTGCACCTTCTTTGGTCCTTGTAATTGTAGTGCATCTATTGAGGACAATACTGTTGTTACATTGCACATTAGCGGGGCCGTGTGCGCAGTGATTTAGTGCATGGTAAATGTCCATTATGACTGTGCAATGCACCGTTAGTAAAATGTGTAGTTGCTGTCCCAGCTTCATAAAGCCAGTGTTACAACACGTTGTTTTGGAGAGCAGAAGTGGGGTCAATTAGGTACCTCAGTGACTTGATAGATAATTAAAGTCCTTCCGTTGCCGCAGTAGAGAAACGCGGATGCCACACACTCCCACGGACTTTGCCAAAGGCCCACAGGCAGGACGTGATCCAAGGACTATGGCAGATGTGAGCTGCAATTTATACTTTTTTGTCTGGTTGAACGTGTCTATTGAGCAGTGCAGCTGATCATGTCTCTGCAGCATAGCGCATATCAAGCTCTCAGCTGGAGGTGGACGAGCAGAGGTGAAACCTATTGCGTTTGTTTTTTGTTTGGGTATCATCCTTCTGAAGTGTGCCTTTGTTTCTCCGTTTAAAACAACAATCCAAAGCAGTACATATTCATTCAAGAAATGCAATTATAACTTTTTTTCAGTTCTGATGGATAAACAGAACCTGACAAAAAGGAAGAAGTAATTAAGATCATATTTCTTCACTCATTTTGGACGGACAGCTATGGTGAAACATTGAATCTTATTCACGGAGGAGCATCAGTACTCAATACAGTGTGGTGGAAGGAGGTTAATTGGAGATACAAGGATAGTGAAATCACAGGCGCTGCATTATTCCAACCTGTCTTGGTTTTGGTCAAAAATCGACCCAAGTCTGCAATGGTGTACTCAAAATCCGTACCTGACCTGTGTAATTGAATGTATGCAGTACACCAGACACAACCCAATATATCGGCTCCTAAATCCAATGCTGGTGGGACAACTGTTGGATACCAGAGCTTTCCACCACAAAGTGAAACAGTGCCTTTAAAAGCTCATTTACCTGCATGCTTTCAAGGCTGCTGAATGTGCAGTGATAGCTAGCAGGGACGCGGTAGACAATGATGTGTTGCAGATGATAATGAGGATTAACTGCTAAATGGTGGTGTGAATAATAATGTCTGACTAATATTGCTTCATTCAATACGTTTTTGACTTAGTAAGATGACCGTTTAGTTCAAACTCCTCCTGTTTGTCTTTGTTGGCAAGTTTTCTTAAATATGGAGAGTGAAATATGCTTAAAAGTGTCCCTCCGCCCCTCCCACACACACATATACGCACATAAACATGTGTCATTGGCCTTAACCTTATCCAAATGAACCGTATATTTTTAATCATAATGAAGTTTTTGATGCGCTTAATACCCTGCTGAAATGACAATACGCCTATTGATTAGCATATGATATCTATGTGTGTTTGTGCGTGTGTTATTGATTTGATACGGTCTGGTCAGAGGTGATGGGAAGGTCTTATTGTTTCATTTAGGGCAAAAGTACAAGGACAACTTCCTCGTCCACACTGACCTTTTTTACAACCTTTCCAGATAATAATTTAGCCAACAAGCCAGTGTAATCAGTCAAATCTAAATCTTTTTTTTATCTTCTTGTTGTCATCTATCGTTATTAGTTTAATACCTTAAGTTTAAAATGATTAGAATATAATGATTGTATTTTTATTGAAATATTTATTTTGATGCGATTATCTTGGCATTATTATTTTCAATACTGTATAATAATAATGATAATAATAATAATAGTAATAATAATAATAATAATATTGTGCTGTGGTCATAATGATGGTGCTTGTACAGAGGTTAAAATCCCCATAATCAAGCCAATGACGTTACAGTCAATGCTTTGTGCCATGATTTCAGCAGACACGAGGAAGGAGCAGAGATTATTTAATAGAGAATGAGAGAATTTGACAGTGGACAAGAAACAGAGACCAGACTAGGCTGCCCCTCAAAGTAACCAGAGGAGATATTCATCTTACATCTATAAATGTCGAGTAGAGCTCCAAAATGGGACAGAATGTCCTAAGAAATATACATATGTGTACGATACATGTTTAGAGCCTTTGCGATCGACTGTGTGTGATGCTGATGGTGAATGTCAAATGTGTTTACATTTTTTAATTCCCACTCATTTCACACCTTTTGTGCTATTTGGACTCCCTTTGACTCCTCCTGTTTTGCCCCCCCCCCCCAATCTTTCATTATTAAAGTACAATGTATTGGTCACAAAAATACAATTTCACCTAGTCTACAAACTATTTTTCATTGCTTTTCCTTACCCTGTCTTCTGATAACACCCCCGACATCTGTGTCCCCAGCCTTGGCAAGTTGCTGTGGCAACCCGGTGTTTTGCCTTGCTCTCAACACATTCCACAAAAGCGCATGTCCAAGGGCGCTGTGACAAACGCACACACACATGCACTTGCACAATGATAGCCGAGTGGGCTTTAAATAGACTTGTTGTCACTGCTGTATGAATCTGCAAGTAGTTTTCACTCACGTCCAAAGACGAAGCTGCTGCCACTGATATTTTGAATAGCTGTCAAACCTCCATGATCCTAATGAAAATTAAATGGAGAAATTTGGGATTTACCGTTTTTGGATCACACCCATTTCTTTCATTTTGATCTACATTACACACCTGGAACATTTTGTCACAGGATCTTGTTGTACGGTTGTGATGTTATCACAGTGACAACACCCACCCAAATACAGAATGACAGACATTTTAGTCAAAGTACTACAAAACCCATTTCCGTGGTAGTTTCTGCTATAATAGGTGTCGGAAGGACCCTATTTTGCCATTTAGACACTTTTCCATGTCCCACTGAAATCCTTGCCGTGAGAAATACCGGCGGTATTGTAAGCTGTGGAGTTGTCATTGTCATTTTAGAATTGTACTATATGCCACAGTCTGTTGAAACAATATTGATTCAATACCGATATGTTGCATAGTGACAAACTGCGACACTACTGCTGATATTGACATTATCTTTCCAAATTAGTAAATTGTCAAAGCACACACTGCATGAAAAGTGAGATTTTCGTCCCCGTAAACGCCCGGAAATCTCCCTAATTTCCGACAATTTGCAACCCGCGCACGTCGCGTTTGTCTGTGCCACAAATTGTCGGAAACGAACCATGACGTAGGTGGAGAGCTGGCGGAGGTGCGAATGGCCCGAATTAGCATATGAATGCAGCGAAACCGAGCGGGCTTGAATATCCTTACTCCTTATTGGAGGAAACCACAACTTACTAACAAATAAAATCACTCGTGATTGGCAGCAAAACCACACGTGGGCAGACCAGGCTTGAGTTTCCTTGTTCATGATTGGATGAAAACAACTTTCAATCACTCGTGATTGGTTGGCAGATCTGTCGCTATTGGTCACCCGCCTCATTTTATTTATATATTCATATTATGCTGTATATTCATTTCATGGTTATCCTATGTAGGCTACTTCACTATTATTAGGATACCAACCAGGACATCAATGAATTTATAGAGAAAATGAACATTTGCCACATGTTTATGCAAAGAAAGAGCTTTATTAACAACACACAAACAACAACTACATACAAAGTGAGGATCTGCCCACACTTGGGTAACGGCAGTTTAAAAACTACAGCTCAGTAAACTGTCCGTTTGCCTCCTCGGGGTTGTTGACCGTCACTGGCGCCGTGTTTTCCGAGGCAGGTCTGTTGTGCAGGCGCCTCGTGTGTGTGTGGCGACCGTACAATCCACCCCGAGACCCCGCCAACAACGCCGTCCCCTCCGCCCGACGTGAGCTCTACGGTGGCGGATTTCCAGAGTTCCACCTCATCATCAGCCAGCGCACTTTGTCTCGATTCCAGCAGCTGTAAAAACAACAATGAATCAGTACTGTGCGATGCGTACGGACACAACACATCGATCAATGCACCTGAAACAAGTCAGCAAATAAACTCTGACCCTCTTTCTTCTCGCTCGACTCCGCGCTGAATCCTTCGCAGCTTCCGCTCGCAATGAGTGTCCGCCTGAACCTGAAGCTCCTGCGTACCGTCTCAAAATACGTCTCACAAGCGGCTGGAAAACAATTAAATGAGTGTGATATGAATACAAAAAAAATCAAACGCAAGTCACAGTAACATTTAACAAGGAAGGAGAAACAGTGTCACTTACACACAATGACGTCGTCTAAATCTGGACTTTTCCCGGAGCAAATACGAGGTCACCGCCTCATTATGAGGCGGGATTAGTCTGTGAAAACAAAATGTACAGTTATGATCGGTATACATACGTATATATTTCCTTATAGCGCAGAATGAAAGCATATTCTTTAAATCTGACCCTTGCTCCGGTTCGTGGCGCCTGTAGTTCGTCTCGGAGTTGTGAAGACGGCGCACCGCTTCCTGTAAACGACACGGCAAAGAAAACACACTTTAATAAAGCTGTTTCTGCTCACTTGTAAGGCTACTAGGCTACTCTTAGCTTAGCTCGAGGCTATGCTACTCT